ACAAATACTAATGGAGACAAAAGCAAGCAGGAAAGGGGGAAGTCATGCTGCAAATCAGCTGGGGTGCCCTGAGTAGAAAAGAGGACAAAACGGAAGTGAAGGTACTAGCCATGGGACTATCTGAAGGAAAAGCTTTCCTGGCATGAAAAACAGGGAAAACAGGTAACAGGGAAACTCTTGCAAACCTAATAATGGCAGTAGTCCAAACGGACACAGTGGTAAACCTACTACAAAACTTCTTTGAAAGGTCTGAGTATAATTTTTTACCAGTGAGAAACCCCTGGAGCAAACAGAGATGACTACACCATATGATGAAATATTATTCAGCAATAAGAAGCAATGAAGTACCGATACATGCCATCACATGGACAAACTTCAAATACATTACACCGAGTGAAAGGAGCCAGACCCAGAAGCCTGGGCAACAGAGTGAGACTCCGTCTCAAAAAAATAAAAAAAATAAGGGACAACATATGGTATTTGGTCCTCCCATTTTAAAATATCTGATCATGAATGAGCTGTGGAGGCAAAAATGTTAGTTTAAAATTTAGTGAGTGTGTGGAACTACCTACTATAATTTACTCCCTACGTTCCTAGCTATTGCCTATATAAATATTAGAACATTTTTTTCTTAAATTTTTTCACATTGTAGAGACGAGGTTTCATTATGTTGTGTCAGCTGGCCTGAAACTCCTGGCCTTGAGTGATTTTCCTGCCTCAGCCTAGAACATTTTTATTAATTCAAGCTTTTGCTGTATCTGTCACGTACGTTTCTGGACTACTAGCTTCACCTCACATCACAAAGAAATAAACCACAGACTGGGAAAAACAACATTCTCATCCAAAACACCACTAGTAACAGAGGATTAGGGATAAAGAATTCCAAGAATTTTATGTAATTTGTATAAAATAGAACAAACTCATAGTAACTCATCTTTATTAGTATAACCATGTGACTTAGTTCTATTCAAAGCAACGTCCAGTATTTCCCTATAACAAAGAATTAACATAGTTAAAACTGGGCTCTCTTTTATAATAAAATGAGGAAGAAAACCAGGATGTGGTTATGGATACCACTCTCTCAGTGAAATGAGGAAGTAGCAACATTTTATTTGCATTTTATGATCCCAAGCAAGCACTTTCCCTCACCTCCTTCTGGTTTAACAATTTAATTTGCCTCCCTCTTTCACCATATCTGATCCAGCAACAGTAAACAAACATGATCTATCATAAGATTGAGTGACTTTTCCTTTCCCCATAAAAGCTGAATTTCTGTAAGAAAATATCAGAATTTGGCTGTTTTACTAAGTTATCTACTGGGAATACTCCATTGAAATAAATTTGAATAATTTAATACAATCCTCTCCACAAACTGCAGAGGCAAAAGCTTTCCTCAGTCCCCCACATTTCCCTGTATTACTTCCTCCAAGAATTGTTTCCTGATTAACCCCATGCTACTCAGATACTTTTTTAAATTCTACATCTTCATATGATTTAAGTATTATTTACATGTATAATGGCTTTGCAAAGGCCCATAACTTTCAAATGTTTATGTTTCCTCAACAAAATGAGGAACTACTTAACAATAAAATGTGTGCTCTAATTCTTTCACACAAAGCATACACAGGCAACTCCCAACACTTAAACCATCAATTTACTTTCTGTAAACATGCAACAAGTTCCAAAGATAATGCACTCATTAACAAAGTAATTCAGATGTATCTTTTTGGTTTCATTCATTCATCAAACTTGAGCATCAGCTGTGCAAGGTCTCTATGGACAATCCCCTAATCAAAACTGCCCCTAGGGTCATGGTGGCTCAGTCCTGTAATCCCAACACTTTGGGAAGCCAAGGCAGGAGGATCGCTTGAGCACAGGAGTTTGAGACCAGCCTGGGCAACACAGCGAGATGCTGTCTCTATTTAAAAAGAAAAAATCAAAAAAAACGACTCCTCATTGCCTACCAAACTTCTTACTTTGACTTTCAAAACACAATTTCTTTTCTATACACATTCCAGATTTTCCCATTCTTCATGCCTTTGCCCATACTAGCCCTTCATCCAGGAATGCGCTATCTACACCACAATCAGCACTTCCCTCACCACCAGCTATACATTTCAAATTATTAAGTTTCAACTATGTGTCTACACTAGGAGAGGTCCTTATAGATAGTTTTTAGTTTGAATATGCAAATAAAACTTCAGCTACCATCAGTGGTAACTACCATCAACTCAGTCTAGCAGGAGGATATAGGCCCGTGAACAAGTAACTGCACTACCATACAACCTAAGATGAGTGTGGTAAGCTGTCACTAAGGGCTATACAAAATTAATGTATTGTAGATGCATTATGGGTGGACATGCTCAGGGGTAGGAGGAGGATCGAAAAATGTTAAAAATGTGGGCAGGGCACAGTGGCTCACATCTGTAATACCAGCACTTTAGGAGGTTGAGGTGGATGAATCATTTGAGGTCAGGAGTTCGATACTAGCCTGGCCAACATGATGAAACCCTGTTTCTTTTTTTTTTTTTTTTTTTTTGAGACAGAGTTTTTGCTCTTGTTACCCAGGCTGGAGTGCAATGGCGCGATCTCGGCTCACCGCAACCTCCATCTCCTGGGCTCAGGCAATTCTCCTGCCTCAGCCTCTTGAGTAGCTGGGATTACAGGCACGTGCCACCATGCCCAGCTAATTTTTTGTATTTTTTTTTTAGTAGAGACAGGGTTTCACCATGTTGACCAGGATGGTCTCGATCTCTTGACCTCGTGATCCACCCGCCTCGGCCTCCCAAAGTGCTGGGATTACAGGCTTGAGCCACCGCACCCGGCCTGAAACCCTGTTTCTACTAAAAATACAAAAAGTATCTGGGGCATGGTGGCACATGCCTGTAATCCCTGCTACTTAGGAGGCTGAGGCTTGAGAATTGCTTGGACATGTGAGGCAGAGGTTGCAGTGAGCTGAGATCATGCCACTGCACTCCAGCCTGGACAACAGAGCGAGATTCTTGTCTTTAAAAAAAAAAAAAAGAGGCAGAGGTGGGCGGATCACGAGGTCAAGAGATCAAGACCATCCTGGCCAACACGGTGAAACCCCATCTCTACTAAAAATACAAAAAAAATTAGCCGGGCATGGTGGCACACGCCTGTGGTCCCTACTACTCGGGAGGCTGAGGCGGAAGAATCGCTTGAACACAGGAGGCGGAGGTTGCAGTGAGCCGAGATTGCGCCACTGCACATCCAGCCCGGCGACAGAGCAAGACTGCGTCTCAAAAAAAAAAAAAAAAGATAAAAATTAGTTAGGCCTATTGAATCAACTTCTGAATGCAGGGCTTTGCCTGTATTAGGTATTCAAAAAACTTACTTATCATCTTTGTGAAATTAACTTGCAAGGCAATGAGCAGGATGGCCAACTTGTGGTAGGGCTTGGATGGAGTGCAAGGTGGCTGAGATGAGAGAAAAGGATGTCTAATCTTGAGATCTCCCAGGAGCCACTTAAGAATCCACGTATCTCCTGACCGGTTTTGTCTTCCTAGCAACTGACAATGTTTTCATGATGCGCTTTTCCCAGTTCTACATGACACTATCCATTACCTGAGAAATTGTTTCTTCTACAATCAGTGTTCACTGGCTCATCTCAGCGGTGACTCTGCTGACCCCACACATGCCTCTTTTCTCGGACGTACCACAAAAGTGAGTATGAGGGACCCCAAAAAAATTTGAATGTCTTAAGTCCTTCTTTAATCTGGTACATTCCCTGGGCTGGAAGACAACCTCTTGCCATGTTGGACATGCTAAGAACACATAGGTTTGTTTTGTTTTTAGTAAAATCAGGCATCTTTAACCCTCAATTGATTTATTTATTGAGACTAAGTAACACACGTATTGCATAAAACTCCAGAAGTGAACTTCAAGTCAGTAGCAAGTTAAAAAAAAAACAAAAAACCCTTGAGAAGTACAAAGGAACATGCAGAGAAAAGTGAAGTGAATGGAAACCTCTTCCTGAGAGAGAACCATTCTCATCTATTGACCATTCCTAAAATAAGAGTGTTTTCTACTGTGAACAGAATCACTTGGCCACATTCTGTATTACAGCTTGTTTGTCTGGGGAGAGGAGCTGATATGTGAATCACACAACTATGTATAATGTATCTATGAGAAAACACATTATTAATGCCAAAGAGTACAACTTGGGATTCAGCATAGTGGTATGAATAGAAAGAACATGGCTTTCTGCAATAGCTCTGACCAGGCATCTTAGGAAATGTTATTTAACTTATGACTTTTCAATTTCTTTTTTTTTTTTTTGAGATAGAGTCTTGCTCTGTTGCCCAGGCTGGAGTGCAGTGGTGTGATCTCAGCTTACTACAACTTCTGCCTCCTGGGTTCAAACAACTCTCCTGCCTCAGCATCCTGAGTAGCTGGGATTACAGTGCATGCCACAATGCTCAGCTAATTTTTTGTATCTTTAGTAGAGACAGGGTTTTACCATGTTGGTCAGGCTGGTCTCAAACTCCTGACCTTGTGATCCACCTGCCTCGGCCTTCCAGAGTGGTGGGATTACAGGCATGAGCCACCGTGCCTGGCCGACTTTTTGATTTCTTGGTGTTTTTTTTTTAAATAAAAAAGACAGGGTTTCACCATGTTGGTCTGGCTGGTCTTGAACTCCTGACTTCAGGTGATCCGCCTGCCTTGGCCTCCAAAGTGCTTGGATTACAGGTGTGAGCCACCACGCCCGGCTGACTTTTTGACTTCTAATCCATAAAATAGGGATAGTGTTGCCTACCTCCTTAGGTTCTTCTTGATTAAATTAAACTCATGTTGAATGTTTTGATAGCTTTAGCCTTGTTTTCAGCTTTCTTTGTAGAATGTTTTCATTTAACTGCATCTGGAATGTTTTAATTTTAATGTATACCCAAATTTCTAAGAAAAAACTTTTGTGCAAAAATACAAAGATTTCTATAAAAGGCTTCTATTTACAAAATCAAAGCCTCCCTAACAATTACCTTTTGTTCTTCTCTTTCTGTTGCATGGTGACACTTTTCAATTCTCCAATGCCTCAAGAAATCTCGAAGATATCCAAAGAGGGTGAGTACGCCATACCCCACATATGTGAGCACAGCAACCAGCATTGGTGTTTCTTCAAAAGCTTCATTAAACGGTCTTTTATATAGTCCTCCATTTTGTGTAACATGATGGATCTAAAAGAGAGGTTAAAAATGTTTATTTTAATCATGGTAAGAAAAACATTCCTACCTAAAATCTAGGTCCTCAGAGATTTGCTGAATTATATCTTAAGAATTCTGTAAATTCTGCCAGGCGCGGTTGCTCACACCTGTAATCCCAGCACTTTGGGAGGCCGAGGCAGGTGGATCACTTGAGATCAGGAATTCAAGATCAGCCTGGCCAACATGGTGAAACCCTGTCTCTACTAAAAATACAAAAATTAGCCAGGCATGGTGGCAGGAACCTGTAATCCCAGCTGAGGCAGAATTGCTTGAACCTGGGAGGCAGAGTTTGCAGTAAGCCGAGATACCACCACTGCACTCCCACCTGGGTGACACAGCAAGACTCTGTGTCAAAAAAAAAAAAAGAATTTTCTAAGTTCCAACCTCACTGGAAACAAGAAAAAAAAAAAGCATTTTGTAAGTAATAATCAAATAAAACATTAAGAGGTGACCAGGCACGGTGGCTCACCTGAGGTCAGGAATAGGAGACTAGCCTGGCCAACATGGTGAAACCCCAGCCTTACTAAAGATACAAAAGTAAGCTGGGCATGGTAGTGTGCGTTCGTAATTCTAGCTACTTGGGAGGCAGAGACAGGAGAATCACTTGAACTCTGGAGGTGGAGGTTGCAGTGAACCAAGATCGCAACACTGCACTCCAGCCTGGGCAACAAAGCAAGACTCCGTCTCAAAATAAATAAATAAAAGAAACACTAAGAGGTAAGCAGGGCATACTTGATTTCAATAGAAATAGTTTATAAATTATATGCACTTCAGATGAACAGTAAAAAAAGGGGAACAAGAAGGACTGCCTAACATTGATTTTTGTCATTATTTAATTTTCTTAAATAGATCCTAAAATGCTAGCCTAATTTCTTTTGCTCTACTAAAAAAAGCAAAAAACATAAATCAGCAAAAAGAAAGCCTATCCCAAAAAAGTATTATTAGCTTACAGATGAAGAGATCAAAAGTTCAAAATTAAATTCAGCTTTAGAATGTGAAACATTTGTAAATGTTTTACTACCACACATTCTTAAAGCCACCCAGCCATAGTATTCTAAATAATTATCAGCAGTAGGCCCCGTAGAAACACGTAGCTCATATTAACCTTTGTTGGTAGTGATAACACAAGTAAATCATGCGAAAAACTAAGATGTTTATTTAAGTGTGGTCCAGGCTGGACACAGTGGTGCATGCCTGCAATCCTAGTACTTTGGGAGACCAAGATGGGCAGATCACTTGAGTTTAGGAGTTTGAGACCAGCCTGGACATATGGCAAAATCCTGTCTCTACCACAAAACAAAACTAAACTAGCTAGACATGGTGGCACATGCCTGTAGTCCCAGCTACTCAGGAGACTGAAGTAGGAGGATCACCTGAGCTCAGAAGGTCGAGGCGGCAGTGAGCCATGATTGTGCCGCTGCACTACAGCCTGGATGACAGAGTGAGGCCCTGGCTCAAAAAAAAAAGAAAAAAAAAGTGTGGTCCAGCATTGTATAAAAGTAAAAAGAAAGTGAAACCCAAAACAAGGGGAAAAATCATTAGTAACTGTCATGAATTCTTCTGTCCCCCTCATCTTAAGTATTTATTCCCAAACACTAAGATTATCCCTTGTGTTAACCTTTGGGATATCTGGATTTTTTTTCTCTTCTTTTTTTTTTTTTTCCTAATAAACATTCTATCATATACTCGGGATACTTGGATTTAAATATACAAAAACCAAGCTACTTTACTTTCGATCTCATAGAAGAAAACTTTATGCTTCCTGGTCAATTTTAATGGAAATCTTGCTTTACAGAAGAAATCTGCTAGACAAGTTTGTTAACTTTAATCTTAACTTTAGAACAATTGCAGTGGGGATGATTAATCTAAGTTTACCAGGAGCATATCATCACTTATGCATTATGAAAAGATCTAAAAGATCCTTTCTTGCCCTCTCAGGTGATCTGACTGGAGATACGATATAAACAAATAAAAACAAATTATAAAATTTACATAACTATACAATAAATTGTTATATATCTCCAAGGGGTAAAGATATTTTAGAATATCCTATCCTGGTAACCTTAGATTTGGAAAGCTGCTTCAGTGTTACAAATTAGAACAGTTTGGAAAGACATAGTTGTATGTGACAAAGGACAGGCATTCAGATAGGCATGGCAGATGGACGGAATCTGTTGGTACTGATTCAACTTGATGATCTAAATAAGAACTTCTGAAAACTATTCACAAACTCATTTAGGTCTTCATCCATCTCTTCCATATAGGAGAAGTTGTTTGGTGTCAATATTTAATACTTAAACTTTTATGCAGGAGTAAGGTTGTAATGTGCTTAGAACAGAGTAACTAAAATTGAGCCAATAACTGAAGACAGAAAATTGTTTAAAAATTAACAATAGCCGGGCGCGGTGGCTCATGCCTGTAATCCTAGCACTTTGGGAGGCCAAGGTGGGTGGATCACCTGAGGTCAGGAGTTCAAGACCAGCCTGGCCATCATGGAGAAACCCCATCTTAAAAAAATAATAATAACAACAACATAACAATATAAAGAAGTTATTAAGCTGGGAAAAGCAAAACAAAAAGCAATTTAAAAAACAAGAAAAATAACATTCTGATAATTTCTTTAAAAACTGTATCTGAAAATATTTTGCCTTAAGAACTCTCCTTAACAATGAAATTATTTAAACTATTTACTCTCAACTGTACATATCATTAAAATGCCTGGGAATTATAGACCACCCCCCACCCCCAGTCTCTAACAAATGTGCGAGTTTACAGGTCAGGAATGCTGTGGGTGGGTCTCTTTTAAAGAAATCTGCCTTGATTTCAGGCACACCCACAGAAACAGGATCAAGTCAGTTCATACTGTAGGCTGAACTCTCTAGGAAGGAGGATGCTAAACCATTATAAAGAACTGTGTGATTTTCCCAAAGCCTTATTCAAAATCAAATGTATTTTAAAGAATTAGGGTTCGACTAAGAAGTGTTTGGGGTTTCTTTTTTTCCACCCTCAGAGCCTGTAAAAAGAAGTGACTTTGGAATGTAGCTTCAGTCAAAACAGAGTGACTGATGAGGCAGGGGGGCAGATAGGCAGGCCAATTGACGGATGAGCCTCTCACAGGTGAAAAAGTCTTTAAACTCTGACAGAACAAAATAACTTCACCTTTAAGAACTAAAGCGAAATCTTATCTTTCACATGATTCAAACAATAATGGCATTACTCTCTTATACATGTGTAATAATTCATGAGGAAAAACATTAGGTCTGTTTTGTTCATTATTGCACACCTAGCACCCAGGGTAGTATTTATGAAGTCTTTTTTTTTTTTTTGAGACGGAGTTTCACTCATGTTACCCAGGCTGGAGTGCAATGGCGCGATCTCGGCTCACCGCAACCTCTGCCTCCTGGGTTCAGGCAATTCTCCTGCCTCAGCCTCCTCAGTAGCTGGGATTACAGGCACGCACCACCATGCCCAGCTAATTTTTTGTATTTTTAGTAGAGACGGGGTTTCACCACGTTGACCAGGATGGTCTCGATCTGTTGACCTCGTGATCCACCCGCCTTGGCCTCCCAAAGTGCTGGGATTACAGGCTTGAGCCACCGCGCCCGGCCGTATGAAGTCTTAATAAACAGTTAACACTTAAGAAAATTTCATATCAGTCTATTCACAGTCTGTTCACGTTAAGTAAACAAGAAATGTGACACTGTATTAGCATTATTAATCAAGGAAAGAGGAATATCAAGAAATCTTTACTTGAACAGTAATATTACTGTTTAAGAAAATGTAAAAGTAAAAATGCAAAGGAAGAAATTTTTTTCAGACAAGACTATAAGCACAGCACCATAAAACACATTACAGAACAAGAGAAGGAAAGAAATCAAACTAAAGAGCCATTTTGTCCACAAGCCTGTGGGCTGTCAACCATGTTTATTAAGCAGCTGAAAAGGCACTCCTAACCAAAGCAATATTGGGAACATATAATAAAAGATAAGCCATATGCATAATATATGTTTCCATATGACTAAAATTGTCTGCAAGGAGATACAAGAAACTAGGCTAAGGAGTGTGGTGGAAGATGAAGGCATGTCAAAAATCATACCTTCTAAACTGGCTTGATTTTTCTTTTTTGTTTTTTTAATGAGTATATATTACTGAATTTTTACTTGCCATTTCTTTCTTTCTTTTTTTTTTTTTTTGAGACAGAGTCTCACTCTGTTGCCAGGCGCCAGGCTGGAGTGCAGTGGCGCAATCTCGGCTCACTACAACCTCCACCTCCCAGGTTCAAGCAATTCTCCTGCCTCAACCTCCCGAGTAGCTGGGAATACAGGCGCACGCCACCACACCCAGCTAATTTTTTTTATTTTTATTTTTAGTAGAGACGGGGTTTCACCATGTTGGCCAGGATGGTCTCGATCTCTTGACCTCGTGATCGGCCCGCTTCGGCCTCCCAAAGTGCTGGGATTACAGGCGTAAGCCACTGCGCCTGGCCTGCCATTTTATTTCTTTAATGCTTAAATTTTGTCACTGACTTTATTCACTATTTGGACTAAAACAGAGTTAATAAAACAATACATGCCTATCATTATAACCTCAGTCATCTCACTATCTATAGCCTCTCCAGCGAATGTCTCAGCTAGACTTACATGATACAAGCAAACTTCAAATCTTCACTGCAATCTCAAATTTCTTTCCAGAACTCCACATTCACAGTTCCACCTGCTTTCTACATAGCTCCACTTAGACACTTTATAGGCATCTCAAACTCAACAAGTCTAAAGGTGAACAACTTCTCACCATCCTAACCCCTCCCTCTCAGTTAAAACCTGATACTCCTCCTCTATTACCTATTCAGTCTCCCAAGTTTGGAGTCATTTCTGGCTCCACCTTATTTTCTGGCATCCAGATAGAATTAGTAATGACTTTCTGTGCTTTAGTCCAAGAGATTCTTGTGGGGCACAAGAGAATTTTAAGGAGGT